GACTGAAGATCAACATCAAAAAGACAAAGGTTCTCACTGGGCCAAAAGGCAACATCATGATAGACAGCAAAGAGATTGAGGTTGTTAACAATTTCAGCTTGCTCAGCTCCACAATCAACTCTTGGCACCAGCAGTCAAGAAATCAAAGATTAATTACATTGGGGAAGGAAGTGTGCTGCCAGAGGCCTCTCCAAAGTGCTAAAGAGCAATATTGCCAGTCTAGAGATTAAGGTGCGTCTGATCCAGGCCATCGTCTTTGAAATTACATTAATGCATCAAAGAGCTGACCACTGACTAAGGATGATAGAACTAGATAACTTTGAGTTGTGGTGCTGGAGAAGAGTCTTGAACATACGATGGACCTCCAGAAGAACAAACAGATCTGCCTTAGGGAGGGTGAAACCAAGTTTTTCCTCGGAGGCTAGGATTTGAAGCTGTGTCACATATTTTGGGCATGTTGCCAGGAGGGTCCAGTCCTTGGAGGACATAATGCTTGAAATGGTAGAGAGAGAGTGTTGGCGAGGAAGACCCTGGATGAGATTGACACAGTTAACTGGGGAAATGGGGGTAGAGGTAGATGTGTTGGAGACAGTGAGACCGGCTCAGGGCAGGGCAGGATTCAGAGCTGTTGTACAGTGTTTGCATGGCAGGTGACTTGATGGCAGATGACAATCACCACGACCACCACCTCCAGGATCTCCAAGGGAGGAAATACCAGCTCCCAGGCTTAAGTTAGGTCTTCACTAACTCTGTTCTAGCATGTGGAGCTGCTGTTTACAAGTGTCAGGGTGAGGGGTTAATCAGATGTCTAATTCTGACAGGGTAGGGCTGGCATGCCCAAGGAGTGTCACCTAGTTGGCCTAGAAGAATGGGATTCTCTAAAGCCAAAGGAACATAATTACTGCCCCAGTGGGCCTAAAACCAAAACCTACATTTGAAGTATAAATTCCAATTCTTCTTGTCCTCTCAGTAAAGTGGTAGCTGGAATCAGAGCTCTTGCCCCACCAAGTACAGTTCTCATCTCTTCTTCAATGAAATACATTCATTATCATTTAATATTAACCAATGTTTGTATGCTACCATGAATAAAAAGCTTTTCCCCTTCCCTAACCAACATGCTTCTAGAAGATTGGGACCATAGCTATAATACATCAATATGACTTATTAAAAAGTGAAGAGCAGTTATCTATCAACTTAAAAATCAAATGATAAAATAAAAATATCAAATGATGAGATGCCATTTCAGATCTGTATTCATCAAGATGTTATTTTCTTACAGAAATGTATTTTAATTATAAACACTAGATTATGCAGTGATAATTTTTTATCAATTTTATTTGAATGACATTTCCCAAAATGTAATATTGGAAAACATTTTAAAAAGAACTTTAATTTTAATGGCAAAGTTTTTACTTTTCCCATCTATTAAAAAAAAAGCAAACACTTGTTTTCTCTTATTAACACACAATGCCCTTTTGTTAAGGCACAACATTTTTTTTTTTAAGGATAAATATGAAACCATAGGATTAGGTTTATTTTACACAGCAGTTACAAGACAAGACTTTTATACATATATATTGGAAATAAATATGCCTTCAAAGTCAATCATGATCTAAAATGGAAAATCCTTGTTTTTACCTAGGATGGGTTGCACACATAGCCAAGGTAAGTAGCTATAGCTACATTAACCAAATAGTTCTTGTTTTAACCTAGGATTATCTTCATCAGGAGAGAAGAAAGCTGGCAAGGATGGCTGGTCATCCTTCTTGCTTTCCTTATGTTGGGCTATCAGAGATAGCTGTCATCTGATGCCTGAGTATTTACACTCTTTCTTAATTAACCTTGGGAGATGAGGGCAGTTATTGACTACTGACAGTGCTCAAGGCAGATATTTACTCTCTATCTGCCCTCTGTTCTGCTTCCACTGAAGGATTACCAGACTCTTCTTTTTAAAAAAACTCTTTGTTGTTGTTGTTGCTGTTGAATCAGATCCAACTGGCATAGAAGGAGATTGCCCCTCCTTCTCCAGCAGAGAATTTGATGGATTCGAACCATGTGCCTTCGGGATTGCAGCACAGCTTCTTGTCACTAGGCCACCAGAGCTTCCTGATTACTAGATTCTTTTCATCCTCTTTTAGTCACTATCCCCTTCCTAACTTCCTCTGACCCTATTTGCAAAATATTTAAAAGGTATGTCCAGCAAACAGGACACCTGTTACTTAAAATACACAAAATGATTGTTATTTCATTATACAACTATCAACAATTCAACTGAGTATTATTAATCTAAAATAAAATTTCAAAAGCCCCCTGTCACTAGGGAAGAGAACAACTGAACACGTAATAGAGAAAAGTACAGCCCATCTTACAGGCTCTTCTAGTTCAAAAGAAACAGATACAAGCATCAGCTCATACAGGAAAACAGTGTTCTTAAACAAGGGATGTGTCAGAAGTTTTGTAAACACAAAGTAACAAGTTAGATATGACAACCTGAAGCCCTATCTTTTGAGGGTGGTATCTCTTTCCTTTCTACAGCTAGTCTTTGAAAAATCATGGTCAAGTGGGTTTCAACAAAGATTGATCTCCTCTAGTGAGAAGTTCACTAGGACCTCCATTACAAGAGAGAAATCTTGACAGAAACAGCTCCATCATAAAATTCAGGAGTAAGTGTTGAGGATAATATAATGGCTAAGAAAGAACGGCAGAAACAAGAGGACACTGGCCAAGGGAGACAGGTCACTGAGTAAAGATGGGCCAGTAGATGGATATATCAAGGTTACTGACATCATGACTTCTACTAAACGCATAAAATTCACTTGTATGGAAAAGTATTCTCTATGTAAAGGCCAAAATGAAATACTGAGAGAAGACCAAGAGTTGGAAAGGTGTTTATGTGTGTGTATGGGGAAAACACTAAAATAGTTATTTTGTTACATTTTAGAAATGTGTTATAAAATCCAGGGAGATATTAGATGCCTCAGTTGTTAATTATACTTATTCAAGAAAGTGTTTTATGAGTACATTCTGGCACAAAATTCTCTCACACAAATAAATAAAAATACTGTTCTTTTTACTCATGGTAGTTCTGTAATGCACACTTGACTTTTAAAACAAAAAATGCTGTCAAAGTACTTAATAATCATTAGTAACTAGACTACATCCAACAAACTATAAAAATAATGGATCTTTTGCCTAATATCTTAATTTCTGCACAAAAAATAAACCCTTCACAAAATCATTATGTACATGCAGATGAATAAAACAAAAAAAACAATCCGAAACAAACCCCCCAAAACCCAAAGAAAAAACCCACTCCATAAAAACACCAAGTCCCCCCTAAAAAAACCCAAAGCAATCATGCTTACAACTATAACAGAAGTTTTGCTTCCATTAAATCAGTTTTCATGTAATATGGAAGGAAAAACAAAACACAAAATTCCATTTCCTCCTGTTAGTTCATCTCCCCAGAAGTTTAACATACAACAAGTGCATCCCACATGTTTCTGGCACTAGTCTAAGTAAACCTTTGCCATCTCTTCTGAGATAAAAGAAAGAAAGGAGGAGGAAAATGATGTGTGTGGAGGGAATGCCTCTTAATACAGAAATGAGGCTCCTGATACTCTCTTCAGAATTCTGTTTAAACTCTAAGCTTTCAAAAGTAAATTTCCACTAAACAAAAGCCTACTTGATGAAGCCCATCGTCAGACCTACAACCACATGCTAGAGAAAAGATGGGAAAGATTCGGTTCATTAATGCAGTATTCCTTCTCTGGATAGTGTAACATACAATCTTATATTTGTCCATTTGTAGACACACTCCCCCCAGTCTACAGTATTCATCCATTCTTTGGTCAATTTTACTTATGAGATAACAAATGGAAAGTTGCCTTAGGGTAAAAAAAAAACAACACAAAAAGAATAAGAAAACTCTCTTTTTTCAGAGTATTAGACAACAGAAACACACTGCTGTCACGTGAAGTAACAGTGAGTATTTGTGTGAAATGTGCAAGTGCATAGGCACACTCAGAGGAAGAAGACATCCCAAGGGAAGATCACTCAAAACCGAGGTACCAGTTACAATGACACATGAGACTACATCTCAACACATGTTCTAACGAGATTCAGCAGACTTAATAAAGATTTTTAAAAGTCATTAAAAGAACAATTTAAAATGTTTTATCTAAAGTGAAACTGCTGTGATCTGATCAGACCTACTTATTAATGGTAAAAGCAGCCATGGTGAAACAACCATGACAGGTGTTAATTATCTCATTCCTGAAACAAGGCAACTTCTACACACAAGCTGACCTTTTTTTTTTTTCCATACTAAAACAACATTCAATTTTGTATTCTTGAAAATAACAAAAGTTCATTCAAATCATGTAATGTCAAGTAACTTTCAACTAACATAATCTTTTATATTCTTCTATTGCCTTAGAGCTTACCTTTTTCTTAATGAGATAATGTTACAGAATCCTAGTTCTAGCCCTGAAACCTTAAACCAAATCTTATAGGCTGAAGACTACCAGTCAGGAAGGAAAGGCAGATGGGATCATGCATCTTTTCTAGGAAAAAAGAAAATCAACAAGATGGCAGAAATGTTAAATCTACATTTAAGGTTCAAACACAGTTTGCTTTAAAAAAAAAGGAATAATATCACACATTCAGAGAAATCAGAATCACAATGCAAACCATCATATTTTCTATTAGCCATTGAATCTGTTATAATTTCAAGAAAAAATCAACATAAGCTTTTTTCTTTTCTAATTCACAGAAATAATAACAGAATATTTGTTGCATATCAAGGGATGTGTGGCTTCTTGTGCTTTCCATCCAAGTTTAGAGTAAAAATTCCCAATTACTTAATTTTCATGAGATTATAATTATAAAGCTATATTAAACATCTACACAAAATCATTCCTTTCATCAGCCAAATTCTATATGAAAATACTAATAGTGAAGATTTATGATGTTGTGTGGAAATGGTACACATAACAATGTAGACTCAGCTACAGATTTTAATTCACAAATATATATACACGCCTTGTATATGACAACTATACGAAAATAGTCTCAAAAATAAAGACAATACTTGAGACATGAAGCAACCAATTTCCCCTGATCTTGTATCCATTAAAGGGAAAATAATTTGTCTCTGATGCTTCATAAATACTCAAAAGTTTGGCTGGCCTTAACTATGCATAGTCTCCACAGAGAAATGCTCTCTGAAGTCCCCAATGTTTCAGGCTTCAAAAGCTGTGCCCTGCCGTCAGTTGTGCTAATTGTGTCCTATCTTCTCCAGACCTGGGAGTCTCCTGGCCAGAGCCTGGTGGTTCATTCTGATACTAGCAAGGAGTCCCCCTTCGACGCCATCAGAACCAGTGTAGCTGATTTCTTCACCACTCAGCGTGGTCATGTGGCCCCCAAGGGCTTTTAAGATGGCATTGCCAGCACAGATATCCCACTTCTTGATGTACGTTACATGGATATACAGATCAGCTTTTTCTTGACTCTTATCTGGCACATCCAAGAGTGCTAAGACTTTATAACCTAAAAGAAAAACCACAGAATTTTCAGTTAGGGTTTAAAAAATTTAAGAAAGTAGCTTACGTTTCCCAGTAAGTATACTGTTAAAAGTATCAGCAGAGGTGAAATTACTGTTACAAAATGATTTTTTTTTTACAAAATGATTTTAAAACACAAGTTTTCAAGCAATTAACAAGAACAACATTAAAATCAAATTAGCAAAAATATATTGTAAATCAAACTTAATAAGTTAATTTCAAGTATAACCAAGCAAATACTTGTCATTTTTAAATTTACTTTTTTTTTCTTTCGGTTGTTTTCTATGAAACATGTCATATTCTATAGAATGACATAGTCTACTGAAGCTAACGACCCATACTTTTTGCTTGAATGTTAGTATGATAATCTTATTGCAGAGAAGGCAACTTATTAATAATTTTTTTAAAAAAGCAGCAGGCTTTAAAAAATAAAGTAAGACAAAATGTAAAAGAAACGATATGTAGAATCAATCTAGTTTTACTCATTTTTCGTGGTATACTGGATACTGTCCTTTATTATTCTTACCTAACAGAGATAATAATAAAGTCATACTTAGTTTAGCTTATTAGAACTATGAGTCTTAAAAATCAATAAGCTTTATTTTTCTCTTTATGAATATGCTAAAAAAAAGGTTTTCATACACAAATGTTTTCTTACAATTTGCTATTTAACTAAAGCACATCTGTCAGATGCTATGACAGATCAAACTGTAACCAATGCTGGTCTCAGACCCTTTTCCTGCAGCCTGTAAGCCAATAATGGTTTTTATATTTTTAAAGAGTTGCAAACAAACTAAATCAAAGAATAATACACAATAAAGACAGGACATGACTCACAACCCCTACAGAGTGTTTGCTACCTGGCCCTTTTCAGAGAAAGCCCTCTTAGCTTGGGCCTGTACCACATGCATAACCACACCAGTACAGAATCATCACCAAATGGAACAGACAACAGGCAATCGAATTAATCTTAGAACATGGCCTTGGGACCAGCTCAGGGGTTCGGGGGTGTTAAAGTAACCCAGAAATTAGTCCTCTTAACAGTGTTAACACATTCCTGGAGTTTTTCTGCCTAAATGAGCCCTTCTCTCTAACAGCCCACAGTCAAATTAACTAAATAATTACTTTGTAATCACACTGTCTTTGAAGTCCTCACTGGCATCGCACTACTAACAGGAAAACTCTTCCTTGCCATTGGAGACAGAGGGACATCATTGTTGGGTGACTGCTTCTTTCTTAAAAGGCCAGTGGAGGCGAAAACCTACCAGAGAAACTACCAACAAGAAACCAGGACTGCATTCAAAGAAAACTCAAATAAGAAATCAGGTTAGTTTTCTGACACAAGTCTCTGCCAACACAATGTGGGAAGAGGGACTAGAACTGACCGGCACCACCAGCAGGAATAACTGTAGTCTGGTTTCCAAAAGTCTGCAGAGCAACCTGCTTGACCGTTCCCGCATGGGAGCGGGACACGACAATCCGTGGACTCTTCTCATTGTAGGAAGTGCGGGCTTTCACATTGGAACCACCATCAACCATTGCCCAAGCTGAAAAGTAAAGGTAATACTCATTAATAATTCTGTGAGTATCATGGCTTGAGTTCTATGCCCCCAAAATATACTGTAAATCCTAACCTGCAGATGTAATCTCATTGCAGAAAAGGCTTTATGTCAGAGAGACTCACTTTTGAGATACAAAAATAGCAGATGAGGCACAGACATGAAAGCTCAGATGGAGAAAGGCCACTGGCACCTGAAGATGACAAAGCAACCCAGGAGAGTAGCTTGAGAGAGGGTTTTCCCTCAGAGTAAACAGAAGTTGCTCATGAATTTGGACATCAAACCTTCTGAACTGGGAGAACAAAAATGTGAAAATCATCCATGTGTGGTACTTCTGTTAGAGGAGCACTAAATGACATTAAAGACAAAGACAAAGAGATATTGGAGATTTAAAACTAGCAGAGTCTAGTGAAACGAAAGTAATAAAGGACTGAAAAAAATGTACTTTCAAAAAATTATGTACACTGATTTGGTTTTCTCACCAGAAAGCTTTTTCTTTTTCTGAGTACAAAATTGATGGCTGAAATGTTTTATATCAGAATAAATATTTCAAAGGGCAATTCAAGAAGATATTATATTGAAATGTGCAAAGAGTCAGAGAATAAAAAGGGAAAAACATGCTCTGCATTCTAAGCTGAAAAAGCTAAAAAATTCAACCTCAAGTTACAATACTGAGAGAAGCCATAGGCAAAACTTGAATGATCCAAGAAGCATCAAAAGAAGATGGGATATGCACAGACACTGTACCAAAAAGAGTTAGTCATCACTGAAAATTCTCCGGAAGTACCATATGAACAATAACTCACGGTAACAAAAGATGAAGTTCAAGTTGCACTGGAAGACCTGACAAAAACTAAGGCCCAAGGAATCAATGGGATACCAGCTGACATGTTTCAACTATCAGATGTAGCCCTGGATGTGCCCACCACTCTATGCCAAGAAATTTAGAGGAGAGCTGCCTGGCTGATTCATTGGAAAAGATCCACATTTGTTCCAATTTCCAAGAAAGGTGACCCAAAAGAATGTAGAAATTACACAATAGTTTAATTGCTATCACATGCCAGCAAAATATTACTGAAGATCATTCATAAACAGAGCAGTACACTGACAGAAAATTGCCAGTAGTTTTAGTAGTATTTAGAAGAGGCCTTGGCACCAGGGATTCCATTGCTGATATCAGATGGACGCTGACTAAAAGTGAAAAATACTAGAAGAATGTCTAGTTGTGCTTTATTGACTATGGAAAGGCATCCGAGTATGTGGATCATAACATGTTCTAGCTAACATTGAGAAGAATGGTAATCCCGTAACATGTAATTGTGCTCAGGAGAAATCTACACCTAGATAAAACAGCTTCTGTCTGAATAGAACACTGAAACATTGCATGGTTTACAATCAGGAATGGTGGGCATCTTTCCAGCGATGTGTCCTTTCTCCACACCTATTCAATCTGTATTCTGTGCAAATATGAATGAATCCAGGCTCTATCGAAAGGAATGTGGCATCAAGAGTAAAGAAAGACTCAACAATAACCTTCAGAATGCAAATGATGCAACCTTGCTTGCTCAAAGTAAAGACGGCTTGAAACACTTGCTGCAGAAAATCAAGGACTTCAGTAAAGATTACATCTCAAAAAAGATTACATCAAAAAAACAAAGGACATCACCACAGAGCCAAAAGGAAATATAATAATAGATGGAGAAAAGATTCAAGGTGTCAATGATTTCATCTCGCTTAAATCAACGATCACCACCCTTGATACCAGCAGTCAGATCAAGAGACAGATTGTATTATGCAAGTCCACTGGCAAGGATCTCTTCAAAATCCTGAAGAGTAATGAGGTCATTTTGAAGACTAAGTTGCGCCTGATTCAGGCCATAGTCTTTTCAATCATCTGCTATGCATCTGAGAGCTAGACAATGAAAAAGGATGGTAGAAGAACTGATGCTTTTGAGTTGTGGTGCTTGAGAAGAATACTGAATAGCCCATGGACTGCCAGAAGAACAAACAGGTATGTCTTTGAGAAAATGCAGCCAGAGTGCTCCTTGGAGGCAACACTTTGTCTTTTATACTTTCGACATGCTGCTAGGTGAGGCTAGTCCCTGGAAACAGATACTATAGTTGGAAAGTTGGAGGGTTAAAGAAGGGACTCTCAATAACATGGACTGACACAGTGACTGGAGCAATGGGCTCAAGTTTGTAAGATAATGAAGATGGCACAGAAGAGGTCAGGGTTCAGATTTGTTGTTAACAGGGTCACCATGAGCCATATTAGACTCACTGCACCTAGCAAGTCACAATTAAAAACTCACCCTAGAGTTCACCTTTCAGCCAAACAACTAACAGGCTTATAAAGTGACTTGTAACACTAGGGAGGACTCACTCTTCAGAATAAGCAAAGGAGCTGCAGATCCCAAGGATAAAGCCCTGAAGGTAGGAAAGTGTAAGACAGAAGAATTAATGGAAATGAGAGCTAGGGAGAAGCTGGAAAGTGTGGTTACACTGTGCTTAGAAAATAAAATGAGTGGTTGATTAAAATCAAAGTTACTTTGTAAACTTTCTTTTAAACCACAGTAAAACAGTTTCATTATAATTTTTAAAAATAGTATTAGTATTAAGAATAAGACATAGTTTAAAAACTATAATCCTGCCTATTGTTGTTGTATATCATAGGGTCAGAACTGACCCATAGTTGACCCTCTGGCAGGTTTTCAGAGGCATGGGAGGAGATTGTCCCTCCTCCTGCAGAGCAACCTCGTGCCTAGAACCTCGTGCCTTTGGGATTGCAGCACAGCTTCTTGCCACTAGGCCACCAGAATGAGCTATAGTTAATGTACAATCACTGCTTAGGTTAAGAGCTCCCAGGTTCCTGAACTCCCTATGAGGTGCCCTCTGAGGTTTCAATAGGACTGCATTGCACTGCAATTCAACGTCCTTCCCTCCTTTCCCACACATCTGATCCTAAGAGCACTCCTCAATAAAAATCTCATATGCTAATCTTTATCTCAGATGCCATTTCCCAGGAAACTCAATTTATGATACAAAACAACTAACTTCCTGGGAAATTCATTTCTATTCTCTACTTCTGATATAAGGAGGTCTCATGGTGTAGCCTACAGCAAGTTGCACTGCGCACCCAAAGGCTGCTGGAATATGGCAGTTCAAAGACACCAGTGACTCCAAGCAACAAAGATGGACTATCTCCTTTCATGGTCACTTACTGCCAAAGAAACCCGATAGAGGGTGGATATGAGTCAGAATGGACTTGAAGGCAGTGGGTTTGATTTTTAATATATTCATGGTTTCTTTTATCTGCATATTGGCTCAAGTTCCTCAGTGACTTTAGTGTTTGTTTAGTTTTTTTTATTTAAAAATATTTTCCTAAGCAAGTGTAGAAACATAAATGGTAAGAGAGGTAAGATAATTAATTTTGTTTGTCTATCAAAACAAAAACACACTGGCTCTCGGCTCATCTACTGACAGACTGCCCTCTCTTCTTGTGCAGCCTCAGCTGCATCCCTGAAACATGATGGTGAAGGTTGGAGTAAGTGGATTTGGCCACATTCCATGCCTTGTCACTGGGGCTGCTTTTAACTCTGACAAAGCGGATGTTGTTGCCATCAATGACCTTCTCACAGACATCAACTACATGGTCTATATGTTCCAGTATGTTAATACCCACTGCAAGTTCAACAGCGTGGTCAAGGCTAAGAATGAGAAGCTGGTCAACCAATAGGAAAGCCATCACTATCTTCCAGGACAAAGATCTTGCCATTATCAAGTAGGGTCATGCTGGTGCTGAGTATGTTATGGAGTCCACTGATGTCTTCACAACCTTGGAGAAGGCAGGGGCTCACTTGAAGGGTGCTCCTTCTGTCAATGCCCTCATGTTTATGATGAGAAGTATAACAACTCTCTCAAGACTGTCAGTAATGCCTCCTGTACCACCAACTGCTTGCCCTTCCCCCGACCCCCCGTCAAGGTCATTCATTTCTGGTAACATAGAGGGACTTATGACCACAATTCATACCATCAATACTACTCAGAAGACTGATGATGGTCCCTCTGGAAAGCTGTGGCGTGATGGCTGTGGACCTACCTAGAACATCATCTTTGCATGAGCTATTGGGGCAAGGTCATCCCCGATAGTACCATGGCTTTCCATGTTCACATCCTCAATGTGTCAGTCATGAATCTGACTTGCCATCTGGAAAAAGCTATCAAATATGACATTAAGACCTACAACCAGCAGAAGATAAAGTAGATGAATGGGATCTTCTAAGAATCAAATCCCTATGCACATCCAAAAACTTCTCCAACAGGGTAAAAAGGGAAGCCACAGATTGAGAAAAAGTATTTGATGATGACATATCAAATAAGGGACTTATATCTAGAATTTATAAAATACTTGAGTACCACAAGAAGATAAAGGTAAATAATCCAGTAGAAAAATGGGCACAGGATATGAACAGACACTTCACCGAAGAAGACATTCAGATGGCTAATAAGCACATGAAGCAATGTTCAAAATCCCTAGCCCTAAGAGAGATGCAAATTAAAACAACTATGAGATATCATCTCACCCCAGTCAGAATGGCAAAATTTAACAGAACAGCAAGCAACAAATGCTGGTAAGGTTATGGAGAAACTGGAACCCTTATTCACTGTTGGTGGGAGTGTAATATGGTGCAACCGCTGTGGAAGGCGGTATGGCGCTTTCTCAAAAAGTTGCAAATAGAGATACCATTTGACCCAGCAATTCCACTACTGGGAATATACCCTGAAGAGACCATAACTGACATTCAAGCAGATATATGCACACCCATGTTTACTGCAGCTTTGTTCACAATAGCAAGGAGCTGGAAACAACCTAAGTGCCCATCAACAAACAAATGGATAGAGAAGCTGTGGTATAATCACACAATTGGAATACTATGCTACACTGAAAAACAAGGAACTCATGCAATATTATTCAAAATGGGCAACTA